AGGTCGGGTCAGCCAGGCCCAGGCTGGCCGCTGGGAGCGGGTTCCTGGAAGCGGCCTTGAACCCCAGCTGTCGGAGGGACTGGGACATGCGGGTGCGTGCGGAGCCCAGAGATCCCCAGGGCACAGGAGTGTGGCTCCAGGTTGCTTGCTGCGCCCCTGAAACTCTTCAGAGTGGCTGGGTCCGAAGGCAGTTCCATTCTTAATCTTCTGAGGTCATTCCATGCTGCTTTCTCCAGCGGCTGCACCAGTCTGCATTCCCACCAAATGCACCCCTGTGTTCTTTGCAGCGTTATGTACAATAGCCAAGATTTGGAAGCAGCCCAAGCACCCATCAGCAGATGAGTGATAAAAAGTTGTGGTGATTTACACAAGGGAATACTACTCAGCCCTAAAAAAGGACACTGTACTCTTTGCCACAGCATGGATGGACCCGGAGAGTATTATGCTAAGTGAAATAAGCGAGAGAAAGACAAGTACTGTGTGATTTCACTCATATGTGGAATCTAATGTACAAAATAAACAAAATAGAGACAGACTCATAGATAGAGAGCAGACTGACAGCTGTGAAGGGAGGAACTAAGGGGGTGGACAGATTGAGCGAAAAAGAAAACTCATGGACAGGACCAGGGAGACTTGGCTTGGAGTGGGAAACGCACAGCACCGTGTACAGGTGATGTGTTGTGGAGTTGTGCACTTGAAACCTGTATAATTTTGTTAACCAGTGGCACCCCAATAAATTCAATAAAAAAGGAAAAAAAGAAAAATAAAGGAAATAGGAGACAAAAAAATAAAATTATTAGGAAAAGAGTCTCAAGGTCTCCATTCTTACTAAATGCTATTCTTGCTAAATGTAAAATGTAGCACAGTATTTTGCAGACCAGCTATAAACAGGATAAGATTGACAGGAATCCAACCTGATAAGTAGCCAACTGCAAAGAAGACATAAACATGTGATTAGCCAAATTAAGCAATGGCTGGCTCCCTTCCCGCTTGGGAGGTGAATCCGGTCTCCTTGACTTACTGCAAGTAAATAAAACGTACTTGCAACAAAAACGTCTCATTTTTAAATAGAGGGCCCCAAGTAGTGAACCCCTGAGTTCAATAACAAAACCAGAAGTCATGGTGCTCAAACCGCCCGTCGTCCTCCCCCCCTCCCCACCACCACCCTCTGTGTTTACTGCCCAGGGCCCCTGAAGAGATGGGGTAGAGCAGGGATCATGCACCTTTTGGGGTGCTTTGGCTTCTGTAAGGAGCGGAGGACAGCTCAGGAGCCTCTTCCCGGAGAAACGCCTGTGCACGCGGACTCAGTATTGTAGGCGGTGGCTCTAATGAGAAGTCCTGCTGCCCAGCTTCCCTCGTCCTTCCGGTTTGACCTAAGGCTCACCCTGATCGGGTTAAGGGAGCTTTCTCTTCTACCTGATGACGTTTCAAATGCAGGGGAACTCATTTGTCAACTTACCCTCAAGGATAATTAATAAAAAATGGCTTGAAAATGTCATAGAAAACTCAGGCTCCATACTGTACTGTATGTTCAGTTGATTAGCATATTTGCTCTCAGGCTAGCCCTTACTTCCAGGATTACATTTCCCACCCTGGGCCCAGCTCTGCAAACTGACATCTGAAGGCAGCCAGCCCTGGAATTCCTGTGAGGAACCCCCTCCTTTTCTCAAACCTTCAAAATGTAGGGTCTTGGATTTCTGCTCCCACTGCTGTGCAATTCTCTGCCTCCTTCAAAATCTGGCCCAGGTGAGTGCTAGACACTGAAATCTGGAGCCTTCAAAAATTAAGAGTACTAGTAGATGAAGCAAGTTTGCACATACACACATAAATTAATTTGGAGATGACTTCTTAACCTCTGATTCTCTAGGGCAGTGGTTCTCAACCTTCCTAATGCCGCGACCCTTTAATACAGTTCCTCATGTTGTGGTGACCCCCAACCATAAAATTACTTTCGTTGCTACTTCATAACTGTAATTTTGCTACTGTTATGAATCGTAATGTAAAATATCTGATATGCAGGATGTATTTTCATTGTTACAAATTGAACATAATTAAAGCATAGTGACTAATCACAAAAACAGTATGTAATTATATATGTGTTTTCCGATGGTCTTAGGCGGCCCCTGTGAAAGGGTCGTTCGACCCCCAAAGGGGTCACGACCCACAGGTTGAGAACCACTGCTCTAGAGTGTATTTTGTAAGTATTTAAATAGGCTACAGTGAATTTAAATGTATCAAAATTCACTAAAAATAGCTCTTCCGGAATATGTATCTTATGGGTGTAGGACCCCAAACTTCACCTGCCATGCCTCAGTTTTCTCATCTGTAAAATGAAGATAACAGCAAGTACCCCCTTGAGTTGTTAAGAGGGTTAGATGCGTTAAATGTGAAAGAGCTTAGAGCAGTGCGGGCTTGCACAAAGCACTATTTAAACATTTGTTAGGTGAGTAAAGTGAGATCAAAGCTGGCCCTAGGCAGGATGCTCCCCGCTTCCCTCCTCAGCCCACTCCCCAGGTGGTTCTTACGTGAGCAGAAGCCAAGCTTTCTCATTCTAGGGTAAGCCATCTACACCCATGTGAGTGGTTTATCTAACCCATGTCTGGAGAATTCACTTCTGTTTAAAACATTCAGCTGAGTAAATTTTAAATATCTTGTTGGTTTCATGCAATGACTCACGAATCAGGCAGCCTCCCATCTAGTAGATGAAAAGGAGCTCTAAGGAGCTGCAGAAAGTGAAAGACTTAATAGGCAGAAAGGACAAGAAATTATACTGCCCCCAAAATCGAGCTGGTCATTGCAAGGTCACTTAGTTTAGGGATTGGCAGGGCCTATCAGGCAGATGACCTCACTGGTGCTGACCACATGATTCACGATTGACTAGCTAAGATCCCACTTCCGGGAGACCCCAAACTACTTACACCTCCGTGTGGTGACATGGAGCTTAAGCATAGCTACAAGATTTTGGGCCTGTTGTCTTATTTTTAACTTTCTCTGAGGAAGCAATAAGTATAAAATTTTGGACAGCAGGGAAGAAAGGGGAGTGGGCTAAGACACCTGAACTAGGTCTGGCCTTTCCCACACAGTTCCCGGTAGCAGCCAACCCCAGGGAGACGGAGACACCCTCCACGCTCCCAGAGGCACTGCCGCTGCGGGCTCCATGGTCTGTC